GCGTACTTCCATGGCCTGCTCAAAGTCCAGATCTCAATCCTATTGAGAATCTATGGGCCGAAGTCAAGAAAAGCATCCGTGAAAGGAAAAATTTGCCTTCCAACCTTGCTCAACTCGAACGACATGTTATAAGGGCATGGAATCAAATTCCGATAAAAACTATCGAAAATTTGGTCGATAGTATGCCGCAGCGAATTCGGGCTGTAATTGAAGCAAATGGAGGCCCGACTAAGTACTAATTATTTAGTACCAAATTTGTAGCATATCGTACTTTAATAAATATATTAATAAATATTTTTTAATTAAACTTAAAAAATTTAAGTTTTATATTGAGCCAAAAAGCGTTCGGAGACTTTTGGCGGGGGTCTGTAATATATTAAAATAATTTATATTAAAATATTGTATTGATTTTGTCAATAAAAACTGCTTCTAAAAATACCACTATATAATTCATAAATTCATGAAGAAAATTCAAAAAGTCATGATTTATTTTTAGTGGTTTACCATTAAAGAAACACCACACCTTTTCTCTTTCTGCAACTTTAACATAATGCTCTGATTGAACCCATTCCATAATTAAAAGCATTTATCTTATTACCAGTAAACAGGTACAGATGCGTAATATGTTGTCATCTACCAAATATTCGAAACTTTCTTTAGCAATACACTATAGACACCTGCCTGAAACCTTTTCGTCAAACTCTTACCATGTTTATAATATAGTTTCATAAGTTTCAGTTTTCGTTGTGTATCAGATATAATTTCATCTGGGCTTTGATTATTATTAAAAGGTTTCGTTTCTCATCGATACAAAACACAAACGCCTAAAAAAAGTTTTTCCAGTTCCTGGGTCCCCAGCAACACAGAAGCGCTTACATTTTTTATTTAGAGTGTGAGATTCTTGAAATATTCATAACAACGGTGTTTATAAATGTAAGTTTCACTCTTGGTTCTAGGGAGTGGCATGATTACTTCTTTGTCTAATCCACTTTAGTAGCAGTGTTCGCAAATGATATGATTTTCCTAAAATGATTAGAAGTAAAAAGAACGATGTGACTCACAGAATGCTGATAACTCATTCCGCACATCCTTTGTTAAAACGTACCTGTTATTTATTTTCTCTTGGAATCATTTAATTCAGCAGAGTTGAAAGTGGCAGTTTCCTGTGTAAGTCAATTAAAAGAAACAAAAGATAAACAAATAGTTTACGAAAAAAAGTAAAACAATAATGACTTTGATATTCAACTACAAGCACGTGTTAAAATCCAAAATGGTAGTAAATATACATAGTGTATTAAGAGAAGCCTTTATTTCTTCAAAATATCGACCTTTGACTGCATTACGAGCCCTGTTATCAGTAAAAAGATTTTCTAATTTTGATTTTGCGCTTTTTCAATTAATTTTTGAAGAAAATCATATTTTTTTACTAAAAATTTAAGAAACTACATATTTATCGGAGGGATTATTCATAAATCGATGTGGGACTTTATTAATTTTAACAACTCAAACATTTTACTGAATAAATGGAAGCGATAGATAAAATTCAATATTTCAATGTAAATAATCTAAACCAAAATTATATCAATTGAAAAACTATTTTAAGCCTTGAAAGGAATGTTTCGTAAACATAAATCGATTATTTCTCGAATCACATGATATTCTTTTGTTTCGTTCGCCATTGAGCTTTAATCATTTATGCTAATTTTTCAATAAAATCAAAGGTAGGTGCGTGTGGCGCAGTTTCGAATTCGATATTTCACCAAAATCGAAATTTATTGTTTCATCATCATGGTAAGATTATTTGGGAGTGTTTCTAGGAAAATCAGGTTCCGAGAAATTTTTGACTAAAATTTAGAGCTTAATACATTTTAATCTAATAACATCAAAAACTAAAATGCAATAAAAATCTCAATTTTGCTAAAAAATTCCCGGAACCTGATTTTCCTAGCAATCAACCCATTTATCCCTTTTTAATTTTTAAATTTTTTTTTTTCACCTCTTGGAAAGTGATTTTTCGTCAAAAAAATGATGAATGGGCGCAGCAGCGTACATTTCTTATCTTAATTCGGTTTAGCGCTCCCAAATTTTTTTTATATTCACCTATATGGAAATTATAATTGGTTTCACGAAATTATGAAACAGCTCATATCTTGTTTTGTTACCATATAAAAACTCGGGATTCTTTTTTGCTTTTTCTATGTAGAAATAAACACCTTCTTCTTCTTCATACAATCCTTTTCTATTTCGCATTATTAGCATTAAATTTATATATAGGTGGTGTAAAGACTAAATTCTCGTTACATCCTTTTTTTTTAAGAAAATATATCCATCATTCCTTTTTTAACTTTATATCACATTCAACGGACGCACAAGTACCAGTATGGTACAAAAATCATGTTTTCGTTGGAATCCAAAGAAAAAGGTAAAAAACGAGAGTAAAGCATTGCAACCCTCGAGCAATGAGATTTCTTCGCAACTAAATGATGAAAAACTTGTAAAAGATGGTGATTCAAATCCTATAAAAATATCCACACCTGATGATGAGGTTATCACAAGTTTGGATAAAGATTCTAATTTCAAACTAGAAAAAATCAATGATGATGACGATGAAAATTCCCTGCACCTTTTCAAGAGTGATAAGAAAACGTTGACAATAAAAGCGACTAAAAAAGTCTTTAAAATGTCATTGGAAGCGGCGGAACCATTCTTTCCTTGGATAAAGTCTGTAAACATCATAATTGATGAAATTGTAAATCTATATGAAAACGCAGAATATAATGAGAAAACTTGTTTGGTACTGGTGGAAAGGGTTGAATTAATTGGTTTATCAGTTAAAACTTTAACTCGTCGGATGGAAGAGAATTGTGATAAGTTTCGGAAACAAACTTATTATCATTCATTTATTAAATTACATAAGATATTATGTGTCGTCAAGAGTTTCATTGAAGATGCATCTCAATTAAAAGGTTATAGAAAATTTATACACGCTTCGGATGTTAAAAATAGAGCAAATATTTTATTAACTCGATTAGAAAGTAGCTGTAACGACTTGCAATTTTCAATAATTATTTCACAAGAAACAAAAGTTAGAGAGCAACAAACTTTAAGTGAAGACGTTGCTAAAATGACAAAGTTTTTAAAATCTTTAGAAACCGAAGGAGAAAGAACTATTACCGCCGTAAACCGAGTATATGAAGAAGTTTTGGCAATTTATAAAAGTATATCCGAAAATGCAAAAGAAGAAAAGAAAGTGTCACCATCGAACCCGCAAATTATATTTAATGCCCCAACGATAAATCCAAAAGATTTACATGCTGAAGTCACAGAAATTTCACATGAAAACATTTTACGCAGAAGATTACGTAACGCGATACCGGTCGCTTGCAAGATTTTAAATGTTGCTGATAACAATTTATCGGAGACAAAAAGGGTACAAGCTCAATTAGCGATATTAAATTGCTTACAATCTTCTAATAAAATCATCAAATTTCACGGTAAATCCGTAATTGACGATTATACGGTTCTCGTGTTTGATTGGGCTGAGCATGGAAATTTGAGAAAATTATATGAACAAGGACCATTAAATTGGGTTGATAAATTAAACATCGCTCATGATATTGCCAGTGGTCTCGTATTTCTACAAGCATGGTAAGTTTCGTGCGTATATATATATTTTTAACTTGTGTTATCTCTTTTTCTTCCGGCCTTAACCAATATTCTTTTGGTAATTGATGGGATAGCATGATTTTTCATCACGATCTCAGATGCGAAAATATTCTTGTAAGTTGATAAAATTACCATTCATTTTGCGTTTTCTTATACATTATGTGATATATTTTTCATTTAGATTACGGGAGATGCTCGATATGAAGCGAAGATTGCCAACTTCCATCTAAGTAGAGAACATCATGATCTGACTATTCAAATAAAAACTTACAGCACCATAATAAGATGGTTGGCTCCCGAAAAAATGCCCAAAGATAATCAACCTAGTAAAGAGAAATATAATTTCAAATGTGAAATCTTTAGCTTTGGTATGTTACTTTGGGAACTTGGCGCTCAAATGTTACCGTACAAGTCAATGGAAATGAAAGATATCATAGCTCACGTGATGGACAAAAGACGAGAAACTTTTGACGCCTTCGATCTTGACCATTGCAATGATCAAGCGCCTATTATCAAAGGTTTTATGAGAATAATCAAGAGTGGTAAGCAGAAAGATCGAGAAATTTTTTTTTTTTTTAAAACATCGAATTAATTTAAACGTAATTAGCCTGGGCACATGAGCGAGAACAACGACTTACCATAAAGGATATATATCAAGAACTTGATGATTTGGTTCGAATTCATTCGCGTCGAATACACCCAAAAAGGTCTTCCAGTTATATGTCACAATCCGAACTTTCCACAAATGACGATTCCAAATCAAAAACTTCATCAGTTAACGAATGCGAAGATGAGGTGTTTGCGCTTGAACCAATACTGTCACTTGATGAAGCTATAAATGCTCACAAACGTGGAGAAAAAGAAAAAGCGTGGAAATGCTTTGAGATTCACGCAACAATTGGTGATCCGGTAGCGATTTATTGGAAGGCGTATTATTATTCACAAGGTTATGTCGTGGAAAAGAATATCAGTGAAGCCTTTAAACTTTATAAGAAAGCAGCTGATTCCAACGTACCTGAAGCCCAATTTCATTATGCGAACGTTCTATTAAGTATGAAAAAACCAGAGTTTATAAATTATCTCATGAAAGCTGCTGACAATGGTTATGCTATGGCTCAATATACCCTGGGTAACCTTTATTTAAATGGTCTTGAGGGTATAGAGACAAATAGAGAGAAAGGTTTACGATACTTGGAATCAGCTGCTTTACAAAACCATTCGGATGCAATTAAGGATCTAAAAAAATTAAGTCCTGGTCTACTAGTAACCGCAGTATAATTGAAACACTTTCTTGTGTTAATTTTTTTCTTGTATAATTAGAGTAATAAATTTTTTTTTCCCCTCTCGAAATATTATCAGCTTTTGTAAAGTGCGAGTTCTTGCATATATACAGATTTGGTAAATTAAATTAAAATCACAAATGAAACATTTGAAAACTTAATTTTCTTTCGTTATGGTGGATATAGTCGAAGCTCGTCATGGCGAATAACACATTTCATGGAAATTGTGGTATCACTATAACAAGCTTGGACTATATTTGACATAACCTCATAATTAAATCTCTTGAAAAAATACAAATGCTATCACTAACGTTTAATTACCACTATGACTAATAATGATGATAAATTTATTGCATGTTTACAATTTTTTTTTTTAAAATCTATTTATAATAGGGTTCGTTTAAATAAACCAAAGGTAAATCAACCATTTGATGGGTAAACAAATAAATCCTTGAATCACATTTTCATTTTTATACCTTTCAAACAATTTCACGTATTTCTCAGACTCATAATCATCCTCATCATCGTCAGTTGTAATCAAAGTGAGTAATGGTCGACCCCTCCAACTTTCAAAGAAAGATTCTAGAGAGCTCGTTGAAAATTTTAAATCAAAGAATCTCAACTCACATAAATGTCTTGAGGATCTCAAGAGCGCATTTAAAAATCTCTTTCCATCCTTTTCCCTTTCCTCGTCGATCCTGTATTTATAATTCTCATCCGATAATCTAATCAATAAACCCTTCAACTGACGACAAGAATCGAGTAATTTCACAAAGTATAACAGATTATCCATATCAATGATTAAGGATAGAATCTCCACGTTCGGACAATGTTCAATTATGGATTGAATCAGACAATTCGAATAATCACCGATGTTATACTGAATCAAGATTTTACGTAACTTTCCCGTGGTACTATTAATTATCTTTGAAATGGTGTATGGGGAGATATTTTTTATGTAAAGGATTTCAAGGTTCGGGTAGGAAGAAACCTGAAGTTGTTCCTCATAACTCTCACTAAGGAAATCATTAAGCAATTGTAATATCTTCAGATTTCTGAACAAAGGGAAAATCCTTGGCGGAAGGAAGATTTCACGTTTAAATCTGGATTCTAAATTGGTCAAAGTTTGGGAGCAAGATGTTAACGCGAGACCGAGTTCTTCGGATGGGTCATTATTATTATCAAAAGATTTCGTGCAAACGAAACGTTTTAAATTTTGTTGAACTTGAATTAACTTGACGAATCCATAATTCTCCTCATCTATGTAATCAAAGTATACATAAATCTTTTTGATACGCTTGCAAATTCGTGACAAACCGAAAAAGATTTCCGAAGGGATGGAAGAATTCGTATTCAACTCGACGAGATCCGCTAGGCACCTATACGCACCGGGAAAATGATGGATTTGATGTTTAATGTGATCCAATTCTAAACTCTTTAATGAACATTCACTCATAAATAGTTTATAAATTTCTTCTTCCAAAATGAATTGATGATATCTCTTATCAGCGCTTTTATAATTGATCCCATCGCATATCATGCTTGATATGGCGGTGGCCTCCAAGTGCTTGATGAAGAGCAAATAGTTAAACATACTTTGTCGTGATGATAAGGAGATGTAAATTCCTTGACTCTTGAGGAATTCTTTCGATTCATTGTGTAAGAACGAAATGATGGTATAAAATAAAGATGCTTTATTCAAACAATATTCCCAAGGATTCTTCCATAAAATCTGAATTGCTGTGGAACACCAACTTTTATTGACCAATACACAACAAAATAAGGAATTATTATCATCCTCCAACTCTTCAAAGATGTAAAATAAAACATCGTTATTAAGGTTCAACATTTTTTTTTTTTTGTTTTTATTTTTTTATTTTATTTATCATGTAAAAAAAAAAAATCAAAAAAAAAAAAAAAAAAAGCAAAATAGTAGGTTTTTTTTTTTTTTTTTTTTTTTGCGAAAAAAATTTGGATCTTACCATTAAAATAATTCTATTACGTCCCGTCGGAAGTTTATTCTATAAAGGAACTAAAAATTTCGTTACATTTATAGCAAATTTGACTAGTGATCTCGATGCAAATCATATGACAATTACTGGAGTCATTTTTTGTTGCGTTCACGCTTGAATCCATCACATGATAAAGAATTCCGATACGCGATTTTCTTTGTAAATTAATTTTGATAGAAAGATGAAAACAAATTAAAATTGGTTTCACCCTTCAAAAAAGTTGTGAAAACGATTATTATTCATCTGATTTATAAATCATGACTAAACGTAATAAAGAAGAGTACGAAACGGGACAGGTTATTTGTTTTCTAATTAAATGGGATAATGGACAATTAATTTTTCTCGTACAAAAATTTGAATTTAAGTACATATATATTATTAGTGTTCGGGGGTTTGTTATACCAATACCCCGCATAACCACATTATTCATCCCCTTAGATCATCCCCTTTTTTACATAATGTATAACTTAGGTAAAAGGATGAAAAAGGTGACAATTTGCATTTGTTTTACCTTATTTAATGAAAACAAAAAGTTTTAAAGAAAAGAATTTAATTTAATGTATGATTGTTTCATGTTAAATTTTATTTTGATTTTGTTTTGGTTTCATTACTGTAGCGCGAACCCTACAACATTACACATATATACACACAATATGCACAAATGTCGTTTCTCAATATATAAAATGTCGTGTTTCTTTTTTCTCTTTCATTTCATTTCTTTTTTGTTTTAATAAAAAAGGCACAATAGAATTTGTAAAATTCAAAAACAATTTAGATGAACTTTTTTTAAAAAAAGAGAAAAAAAAAAATGAAATGAGAAGAGAAAAGATTTAGATTTTTTTTTTTTTTTGTTCTTGCAATTATTTTCGATTTAACTGGATATCCCTTGTATGTATAAAAGGTTTCGAAGATGAAGATCTTCATTTCTTTTCTCGTTTTTTATTAGGTATGCAGTTCGATGCTAATTGATGCGAAAGAATATTCGATGGATGAAAAAAAATTATTTGTTATTTTATTTTATTTTATTTTTTATTTTTAACCTCGACATTCTTTTTTAAGCGGTTTCAAACATCAACATGTGAACGATGTGTTGGGAACTTGCATACTTAAAATTATTTAATTTTTTTTTTTTTTTTCCTTAATACAAAAAAAAAAGATCAAAAAAAGTGTTCATTATAAACGTAACAAACTTAAAAGCGAGAAAGTGGGTGATTAGTATGTCGTGGCGTTTCGTGGCGTAGGAGAAAGATTTAGAACATTTCTTCGTCAAAAAAGTTACAGAAATCAACAATAAATAAAAGCACAACAAACTGATCACAATTCCGTGAACACAGAATAAAAACAATTAAATATATTATTTATTCTAACACGGTTATGCTAATATAAAGTCAATAAACCGACTCGGTAAACGCGCCCGGCACAGTACAAGATAATTAAATTTTAAATGATCCAATTAAAATTTTAAGAGTCTATCCAAATTCAATTTATTATCATTATTATATTTTTTAATAAAAATAATTTCACAAAAAAAAAAAAAAAAAAAAAGGTGATTTCAATCTAATTCATTTTTTCATTAATATCTTTTTTTATCTTTTTTTTATCTTTTTTTTTTTTTTTTTTTTTTTTTTTTATAAATTTTTCGATAACTTAATAAAAACGCAATTAGTATTATTATAATAAACCAAAGTCAAAGAAAAGTTGTAAACTATGTACAAAAAAACAAAAAATGCTTTTTTTTTTATGTTCGTTCAAATCAGATGTTTATGTATATTTTATGATTCTTTAATTTTTTTTTACTTGTAACGTTGAATCAAATCGAACTGACCCGATCGAATCCGAATCACGGATCACGGATCACGAGTTCAAGCTTCTACTATAATATACTTGAACTCTATCAAAGAATTTTCAAAAAGAAAATCAAGCCATTATATAAATATAAATAAATCCAGATGGATATATACACATCGAATCGGTTTCTCTCTTTCTGAAAGATTTTTTTCCTTAAGCTTCTAGTAAAGTAAACACTTCTACACGGCCAAAGTCAAATGAGATGATTTATTATCTTCCACAGAAGACATAAAATTTTTTAAGGAAACAGGACCTCTTCCAGAATACCGAAATTGTTCTTTAAGAACGAATAAAGGAACATCATCTTCATCATCAGATATTTCGATAATATCCGATAGATAAATATCAGGTTCCTTTGTTAACGAGGAGTAATTTTGTTGTTCATCTTGATTGGTTAATGTGGTCAAAGAAGATTGAGAAGATTTTGCCGAGGAGGAGGAGGAGGAGGAAGTTGAACGTACAAGAGTATTTGTTAAACTGTTTAATCTCTTTCTTCTTCTCGCCATGGGTAATTCCTTTACGACCAATTGATTTAGTTCATCATCAAATACCGTCACAACTTTAGAAGTGGCATAAGAAGGACGATATTTCATTGTAATAGGAGATTTATGTACACCAGACAATATCACTGATAATCTTTGATTTGTGCATGATTTGTTTGGGAGTGAAGAAGGGGAACCGTTATGATTATTGTTATCTTGTTGTCTATTTAATTCATAAACTCTTTTATAATGAATTAATTCTTTATGTACTTTATCAGATACTTGTGAAGAAAGTTTTGCCAAAATTTTATTTAACGAAAGGGCTTGAGATATTGGACGCTTTCCAACACGTAATTTTCTTACGGAGCGAAGGTAGGCGAAATGCTCAACCGAACCTTTAACAATATTCGTATTCTCCAGGTAACCAACTCTAGATATTATGACATCATTAGAATCATAATTAGGGGAAGGTGGTTGTTGACGAGGTGATCTATTAGATATGACGGCGGGCATTTCGTACATATCAATAAGAGCGGGTTTTAAACCGGGTATTATCATTTCATCTTTATCCAATGGTTCTTCTTGGTCAATCCAAGAATTGTTACCAGCACATTCCACATCGTTAATTAACGATTTCGCTCTTTTATCACGAGGCGTCACAAGTTTGTTAGATTTGTGACGAATGAAATTCCGTGATTTAGGTAAAGGGGAATTGGTTAAAGGGGGGTTGGTTGTGGAGGATACTTTATTGGTAGAAACGGATCTTTTGATCGAACTTGACCTTCTTACTTTTGTTGATCGATAGAGAATATGGTTTTGATTTGGTGGTTTTCGTAATATGGCCACTTTCACCCATTTTGTGAAATTTGCTATTCCCATGACCTTTGGAGAAGAGGTATTCTTAACGGTGCCATAATTTGTTGCATTTGAGGTAGACATCAAAAGAAGAGTGGTTTGCTCGTGTAAGGCGATGGGCTAAACTTTTTTTTTTGGACAACAATTCAAAAAAGATTCAAGTGATATATAAAGATTTTAGATGAGTGAGGATGGCGCAGTTAAAAAAAATGTGTTTGTTCGAAAAGCAAAAAAAGATGGCAGCAACCTTCTATATCAAGTAAGGTTTTGATAAAAATGTGTAGGTATTAAATAACAAAAGGTCAAAACAAAAAAATAAAAAAAAAGGTGTAGATTGTTATTTTTTTTTTTTTTAAATTTTTTTTTTTTTTTTTTTTTTTTTTTTTTTTTTTTTACAAATAACTATGTGTGTGTGTATTTATAGATTATAATATGAAAAATGTCGTAGCAGAGAAAACAAAAAAAAATTTGTCTTAAAAAAAAAAAGAAAATAGAGAGGAGATGTTCGTTTTATAACAAAAATTTTCGACGGTGATAAAGGAGATTGTGCATGACACAGATACGACCCAAAAAAAAACCTTACCTTGTTTAAGGAATCAAACAATTATTATGAATTATAAAAAAAAAATTTTTGTGGTAAATAAAATTCGCCGATATGTCAGATTGTGATATATTTTTTTTAAAAAAAATTATGTATAATATATTAGAATTGCAACGTGATGCGAAAGGAAACAAATATATTGAAGGGAATAAATAATTAACAATCGTTTTGAGGGGGTAATATAATTAATTGTTTAGATATCAGACGGTTGTAAGAGATGCTCTTTTCGTATTTTCGTTAATGTTTGAAATTTAAATTTTTTTTTTTTCTTTTTTCGAAAAAAAAAAAAAAAAAATAATAAATAAAAATAAAATAGAATTAGGAAAAAAGATTTTTTTTTTCGTTGGGCGTGTTTAAAAAAAGAAGTATAATAAAATATAAAAAGATTTCCACTAAAACACAAGAAATTGTTCAGGTTTTAAAGTTGGAATTTTTTTTTTTTACACGAAAACGTAAAAAAATCAAGCGTTATTTATTAAAAAGTAATATTTATTTTATCCATATAAATTATTTGACGTTTAGAGGCGTAGTGAAAGAAATCCTTATTTATATTGGTAATGTAAAAAAAGAACAAATTAATCATGGAGATTTGCAAAAAAAGTAATTAACTTATGTATATAATCCCATTACTCACTTGAGTTGACAAATAATAATTTTATGGTTTTTTTTAGTTTCAGCCACCCTTTCAAACAGAACGCATAAACTGACAGTAGTATTGAAAATTGCCGAATATAGCAGGTCTATTTAGGCGAGGTAGGGAATTATCACCTTCTCGATCATATCACTCGCATCCGATGTCAAGCCACCGACAAAAAAAAAAACAATGCGGAACCCTTGATTTGTCATTTACTTTGTTTACTTTAAAGCCAATATAAATAATAACGGCCGAATTTCGAATCATTGTAACACATGTAACACAACCAAAATCAATTCTTCGTCATTTTGAAAATTTTCTGAAAAATTAAAACTTTAAAAACCTGTTTCTTTTCTTTCCTTTTTCTCAAGTAAATAAACATCGCCACAATTTAATGTCTTTCAAAATAATGAAACAAGAATAGAATTCCCGTAGATTGGTTAGAATTTGGCATGCCCGGCGCATAATCCGATACGCTTTTCCGCAAAGAGTAATTCGCATTGCCTAAATAATTCGACAAGTGTTTTCTCTTTTCGTAAAGAAACAAAGTGAAAAAGACCATTATTTGATGGTTATCAAAGGATGTTCACGTGTCCATGAATGCGTAAGAAAATTCCTGGCATAAATATTTTGATAACGGGAATTCAAACAGGAATTGGCCTAAAGGGAATTAATCTCCCCATCAAAAACGTAACATACATTCTCAAAGAATTTGATTAAAGAAATTTTGTTTCCAAACAGAATTAATTACCAATTAAGGCAATTAGCATAAATTCAAATCTTTGACAGATCAAAATTGGTGAGCTTTGGAAATGGGGTCTAACCAATGATATAAAAAGATAATCGTTATCAATAACAATGATTTAAGTGTCCGAGTTATAAGTTGGTGTAACGTAGTTTAATTAATTTCTCTCTCGTCCTTTCAAACAATCTTTATTAAATTTTTTTTAAATTTCTATTTGGATTTTTTAAAATGAAATGCAGAGTGTGGAACAAAAGAACATCCTTCCTTCGTGAAAACTTAATTGCAATCATAATATATATATATCCTGCATATATCTTCGAAACAAGGGTCAAACCTCTTTCAAACTTTGAAAATTGAATGCTGGTAATGAGTTCACCTTCATTCCTCTGCGTCGATCTTTCAACATCACACGCTTTAGTAAAACTTGTTAAATGAAAGGTGGTTATATCAATCTCAAAATCGCGTTGTGGCTTAGCAAAGATGATCCTTACACACAGCCGATTTATCATCATTTTTGAAAAGTGGGACATGAAATCTGATGAAACCATACCATTTTGGTTAACTTAAATGATAATCTAAATGAAGTAAACTCTCGGTTACAACAAAGAAACAATGATTTGATGAACCTTTTAGTCAATGAAAGGAGGTCAGGTTTTTGTGTTGTATGATCGCAAAACATTATTTGCAATAATTTATGTTCAACATGCACAAGGTCACGTCATTTATACTATTTTCTAGTGTAATGTACGAACACCCGCGGACAATTCTTACGGTTTATGATTTATTCTTACTGCAAGGAAAAATCGTTCCTTTCTATACCAAATTTGTAACTTTCAATTACTATCTAAATAGAGGACAATGCCGTTATAAATATCATAAAGATCGTTATTTTCTTTGTCAGTAATTTTTTTTTTTTTTTTTTTTGTGAGAAATCTTATTTCACGCTATTTGCGGTAGCCTCAATTAAAAATGATCCTCAACTTGACAGAACGTGAATGATATTATTTGTTGATTGCTAAAATTTTTTTTTTTTTAAATGAGAAAGGAAAAATGAAATCTTAAAATGCATGTTTGAATTACTTTTTGATTTGATTATGTATAGTTATGCAATAAGAATACTCTATTATTCGGGTGTTCTCCGTCATTTGTGACCCTATGTTTTATAAATATATAAAGAGGAAGATCCATGTACATGAATAAAGTTGAAATGGCTCCATGAATCGACTGCCTAAAGCATTTGCAAACTCTCATAGGCAAGCAAGCATTCAGTTTCTACACACAAAGAAAGATGTCTTTTTTTTTTATTTGTGTACCCTTAAGATGATAAAGAAAAAATTTTTTATTTGGAGAATTTAGAAATATTGAAAGGAAAAAAAAAAAATTTCAGCTGTATATCTACAATTTTGATTCACTCGCATAATTCAAGTTGAAAATTTGTTCAATGTTTGGTTTACACGATAAAGTTTCATGATGCATATCGTTATCTAAATCGGATAGATACATTGGCGTAAATTTTAATTTCGCTTGTTTCCTTCTAATCAAAATCAACTTTTTTATTTTTTTAAAAAAACAATGACATTTTCACCGAATTGACATTAGGTTAGTTATGGAAGTTTTCTAGAAAAAAAAACTCGCCACATCTTTTAAACCACTAGGGATGAAATAATAACACATGTTTTTTTATGTGTATTATCTCATTTGAGAAACGTTGAATTGATTATATTGCATATCGAAAAAAAGATAATGGCATGCAATTGATTCTAACATCAAACAATACACCCTGATATAATCAATCTGTAAACTGTCTACTCCTTTTTTTCGGTTGTACTTTGCTGTGAAAACTTGGATTGAAAATTTTAATTGGCAAGTGAATTTGTTCATTTTTTCCCTTAATTTCAAGGAAGTTTCTTCACTATTGGTAGGATCAAATGATAATGAAGGTGGTGATGAAATTTAATGTGCGTGACATTATTAGTATGATCATATATGTATGTGTTACCATGCGCTTTCATTTTTCCTCTGTCGTACCAATGACATTTGCATCCCGTTTATTTTTTATACATAAAAATCATTATTGAAATTAACCAAATTCCTTGTAATTATAAAGTGCCTCATCTTTAGGCAAAACGCCTTTTCTTTTTTAAAAACAGACAAATCACTTTATTGTTTTATTGTAACATCATTCTATTATAATGAAAAACGTCAAGGAATTGATATTGTTTGTTTGTGAGCAATTTTTTTTTTTTTTTGTGAAATGATCGTTGTTTCAAAGGATTTGGTAAATTTAAATAGGATAAAAAAAAAAAAATCTATTGGAGTTTAGCTAATTTATCCAATAATTTAATAAATTTTATTTTTAATTACTGTAATACTTTGGATTTCTTTTTTTTTTTTTTTTTTTTTCACGTTATTAAGATTTCATTTTTACTTTTTGTTTTTTGCTGTTTCGAGATGAACCTTTATTTTTTTTTTTTTCTTTCGAAATTTTTTTCATTTTTTTGATCATTTTCGAGTTTCAATTAATATTTTTATATCGATTCGAGCTCCAAAGAAGGGATCTTCGCGGTTATGTAATGATATGATGACAATGGAGGTTATTTTTAGAAAATCATCCATAAATAATTTTCATTCAATGGGAACTTTATTCTATTTTTATCATATCATTTAATTTCTTTTTTTTTTTTTTTTTTTGTATCGGTTACACATTTCATCCCTTTTTTTTCTAAAAAAAAAAAAATGAATATTCTGTTTACATTGAAGGGTTCTTTCATTGTTAACAATGAATATTATAATTAAAGTTTACTGGATATATATAGAACACCCCCTTTTTTTTGAATGCTATATTGTGACTATGAAATTGATTGAAAATATTTGAAAAACATATTTGTTTGGTCTATGAATACTTTCTGCATGATTATAATTATCCGTACAAGAGGATTCTCAATGAAAAAAAAAATCGTACGTTTAATCTTTTTTTTTTTTCCGATAGACTTTATTATTAGCACGAGTATGTGTATCCGGTGAGTAAGAAATTTATTCTTCAATTCGACATATATAAAAGAAACCAAATTTTTCGAAAAAAAGAAGGAATCTCTGCCCTAAAA